TCAACTTCCTCTTCTTCCTTTCCCTCTTTCTCTTCTCTTGTTTTTTGGGAGAGAGGTCACAAGGGTGGGCAGGCAGACTTGGGAGGACTGGGAAGTGAGTGTTATTGGGGTGCATGATGTGAAATTCCCAAATAATCAATAAAATATCATATTAAAAAAGCCCAAAGATGGTTAATCCTTTAGGAGAATTCACAGCAATTCAGCAAAGAATACAAAAAAAAAATTAAGCAGCACCTAAAGTAGCTGAATGAAAAAAGAAATCCCAGTATCTGATTATGTTCAAAGCCTTATGGAGAATGTTGCTGGCTTTATTTTTCCTAGAGCTAAACTGTTATTTCCCGGGTTTCTGCCCAGGCCCTCCTCTTTTCACACTCTCCTTTCTGTGCTACTTTTCAGTCTCCAGTTACCTCCTAGATGTCAGTGACCGCCCAAATCTACAGTTGGCTACTATGACTCTTTTAAGCATTGGCTGCATTTCTTCCAGATGATTACTTGACATTTCTATCTAGGTTTGCCAACGAAACCTTAGACTTGCTATAAAGTTACTCTCAGCACCCACTACTACAAGCCTCTGTCTTTGCTTGTCCTCGCTAAATTAATCACCCTAACTGGGTACTTCTAGGATTATCCATGCCATCTTCCTTACATTTTTATTTATTCACAGCTGTATTGTTTCTTTTTAAAAATCTTTTAAAGAACCAGCTTTCTTATTTAGAAATATTTGCTTATTGTTTTTAAGATATAATCTTCCTAAAGTATTCAGGCTGGCCTCAAACCCAAAATCCTCTTGCCTCAGCATCCTAAGTAATGTACCTGCCATACAGGTTTTGTAAAGTGTTCTGTCTTCCTGTTCTTTACTTTTCAAATCAGACCACTCCACAGCTGCCAGGGCTGCTTTCTTATCACACATATCTCGTTCTACCATCTCTTTCTTATCACACCTATCTCGTGGACCATCTCTTTCTTATCACACCTATCTCATGGACCATCTCTTTCTTATCATACATATCTCATGGACCATCTCTTTCTTATCACACCTATCTCGTGGACCATCTCTTTCTTATCATACATATCTCATGGACCATCTCTTTCTTATCACACCTATCTCGTGGACCATCTCTTTCTTATCATACATATCTCGTGGACCATCTCTTTCTTATCACACATATCTCGTTCTACCATCTCTTTCTTATCACACCTATCTCGTGTACCATCTCTTTCTTTAAAGCATTCTTCCTGTTTTTCACCCTTCCCCGAATAAAGATTATTCTCTAAGAATCATAAGACCCGTAGAGTCTAATACACTTGTTTCATCTTTCAATGGTGCTCAACTCATATTCTATAGTCTAGGCACTGAGCTTTTCAAATGCCATGTTCATGTACAAGTTTGACTATATTTTACATGAAAATGATGCCTGAAGCCAGCTCAGATTATCAAAATCTCTCAGGCTGAGCTAATGATCAAGAGCATTTGCACATAGTTTGGCCTAAAAATATGCAAATAGGTTTGTGCCCTTTGTTATTCTATAAATGTCTAGAAAGATGTGCCCATGCTATCTATCTCCGCATCCTCAGTACTTGGATACAGTAGTACAGACTTGACACATTATATAAAAGAGCTTTATAAGCCTGAGAGAAGAAAATATGGATCAGGGCCCTAACATTCTTGAAATTTACCTAACACATATTCAAAAGTTTCTAAGTACCTACTATGTGCTATCTGTACAATGGGAATGAGCCAATAGTAGATAAATTAATAGACTTTGTTTTGCCAGAAACCTACAGAGGCACACAGAACAAAGAGTGACCAAAGTTGTCTGGAAGAGTCAGAAAAAGATGGGATAAAAATTCACTACCCTTGAAACCAAGTCAAATAATAGATTCTCCCCCACTCAAAGAGATGAAATGGTAGGCACAGCTCTGCTTAAAAACAACCTTTCAGTAAACTCTGCTCATTACATAACTGGAATAATCACCTTACCTGCAACACATCTCAAAAACTATACTGAAAAGTTGGTACTGCAGACAAGATGAGAAATACTATGCACACATCAGAAAATTTGGTTTTCTATTCTGGCTCCACAGGAATTTTCAGTGAGACCACAGACACATCACTTACCTTCTGCACATGAAATGTTTATAGTATCTACTCAATCTACTCTGGAAGGCCTCCTAAAAAAGCAAACTAAATCAACAGAAAAGCACCCACTCAGGGGGCTCACCTGTATTCCTGAACACAGCCTCTGCTCTAGTGTACTATCTAGGTGAGCTGCATACTTGTGTTGAGGGGTGGGGCCATCTTTTCCTAGTGCAGAGGTCAGCTCTCCTCTAAGGGGCAGAGTCAGCTCTCCTGCAGTACTCAGCAAGGGGCTTGCTCAACATGGCATGGTTCCCTTAATCCCTGTGCTGACAAGGGCCCCAGACATGGATCTTGGCAGCAGCTCAGGCCCAGAGTCTCCATGTCCCAGATGCAGCACATGTCACCCAGATCAGTATGGCCCCTGCAGAAACATGGCCCTTGGACACCATCATTACCACCTAAGCAGATGAGAGAGCTGGCCAGGGTCTCAAGAGTGAGAGAACTATCCCCACCGATCACTAGCTGCATCACACTGTAGAGCAAACCCTGCACCTGCCAAGGCAACATACTAGTGCTGACCCTGCTGACATCAACACAGGAGAGCCAGCCCTGACGGCATGAGAGCAGGACAGCTGAGTACCCCCACTCCCGAGCCCAATATGCTCCCCATAGCAATCAGTAGAGAGGGTCCTGTACCTTGCCTGGCAAAATAGTAGAGTTGGCCCTGGTGGTATGAGTTTGGGTGACCTGAGAGCAGGAAAACTGGCCCTGCTCCTAAGTGCAGGCCACACTAGGTGAGCTAGTCTAGGCAGTGCTGGAGAGGGAAAAGCTGGAGAGCTGACCAATCCAACTACCACCCAGACACAGACAGGGCTATGAGTTGTCCCACCTCAATACCCACTGAATCTATGAACTAAGGAAGCATGTGAAGGAAGAACCTACAAATCCATGACACAGGACAACAACAGGATATCCAAGAGGAATCTCCAATGAGAGCCCATTATCGGTGGTGTAGCAGAAGCCATAGACTTTAGTCAAGTCTACAAGACTTAGTCAAGACTTTAGTCAAGACTTACAGCAATGAGCACTGGCAAGGAAAGAGGAACAGACGAAAGGGTAAATTGTGTGACTCAACGGGCCACACTACAGCTTCCACAAGATTCCCTCCCTCCCTCCCTCCTCTCATTTTGTTTGTTTTTGTTCCTTTGATTTGATTTCTTTTTTCTTTTAAATTTGGTTTGTTTTGGGAGGAGGTTGCAAGGCAGAGGGTGAATGAAAGGGGACAGAGATAAGCGGGATCAGAATGCATGATGTGAAATATACAAAGAATCAAGAGAAATTAAAAGAAATAAAAAAGTGATGGTAAACTCTTTATTATATATGGTTATTTCTGCTGAAAGCAGTATGACATTCTTACAAATGTATTTACCTTTAAACTTATTTTTTTACTTTATAAAGTGTTGGAGCCCTTGGACTGGAGTTACGGATGGTTGTAAACCATTAGGTAGGTGCTGGGAACAGAACCTGGACTCTCTCAAGAGCAGCCAGTCATTTAACCACTTATACTCTCCAGCCCCACATTCTTATACACTTAAAAATGAGATACCTACAGTATCTCTGCTAAAGGAAACACCTCTGCTAAAGGAAACAAAGATCAAGTTCTAAAAATTCACATACTTCTTTCAAACATTAGAGAGTCTCTCAAATACATGCTAAGAATGAATCAAAAAAACACTGGTAAAACATTAGGTGAGATATTCTGGGCAACCAAAAAGATGAAGTCGTCTATTCTCTAGATGCTTAGAGTTTAATGAGCTTTCAAGGAAGTTCTGATACTTATGGGGAGAGGACAGACTCTTCCTGCCTCCTTGCCTGCCTGCCTGCCTGCCTCCCTCCCTCCCTCCCTCTCTCTCTTCCTCCGCCCCTCCCTCCCTCCCTCCCTCCCTCCCTCCCTCCCTCCCTCCCTCCCGCTCTCTCTTCCTCCGCCCCTCCCTCCCTCTCTCTCTTCCTCCCCCTTCCTCCTTCTCTCTCTCTCTCTCTCTCTCTCTCTCTCTCTCTCTCTCACACACACACACACACACACACACAGACACACACACATTATGGGAAGGTGGAGAAGATAAACACCACCTCAAGTTATGGGTTATTTTATAAACAAATTATTCCACATATAACTAGTGAGTAAATTGTAAGTTAATACATAAATGGACAAAATACAACTGAGCAGTAAAGATTATAAGAGAGCTTAGATCATAACCAAAACATATCTGTAAAAACAAAATTACAGTGTCTCGCCTTACAACCAATTTTTCAGCCATACCTGAAAAGAAAAGTAACAAAAAAGAGAAATGTTGCCGGGCACTGGTGGTGCACGCCTTTAATCCCAGCATCTGGGAGGCAGAGACAGGCAGGTATCTGTGAGTTCGAGGCCATACTGGACTACAGAGTGAGTACAGTGCAGGCTCCAAAGCTTCAGAGAAATCTTCAACCAATCAAACAAACAAACAAAAATAGAAATGTTAGCTGGATTAGTGGCAGAAAGAGTACAAACAAGCCTTTTTTCCTATGATGTGAATTAGGAGAAACATAAAAAGCCCTAGGGACTGAAAAAAAAAAAAAAGAAAGAAAGAAACCCTTCCATTCCTAGGGTAATTAAGACTTTTTTTTTACTTATAATATACATAAAGATTTCTCAAAAGTCCTTATTAGAAAAGTTTGTATAATATTTTCAAATTAAGAAACAGTTTATGTGTTTTTAAACTGTTCTATATTATGGACTTAAAAATAAGTCAGTATCTCAGTGGGAAAATGTCTATACCAAACACAATGGTTCCTGGAATCATGTATATTTCAATTTATTTTCAAATCATGAACTCTAACCAAATTTATCAGCAATTTATAGACTGATATCAAGGCTTACCGTTTATTTGGATCCTTTATCAAGAGCCCTGAAAGCAATGATTTTGCATCTGAAGAGAGTGTTCGGGGAAATTTAATGTCTTCCATTAGTATTAGTTCAAAGAGTTTCTCATGATCCTGGTTGTAGAAAGGCAACCTCCCACACATCATTTCATACATGACAACACCCAGGCCCCACCAGTCTACTGCTCGGCCATAGTCATTATCTTCTAATACCTAGAAGTGAAACCAGCAAAATTATCATTATTGTTGTTCATCATCATCATCATCATCATCATCATCATCATCATCATCATCATCATCATCATCCACTCTCACTATAGTGGCCTAGGCTGGCCTGGAACTTCCTATGGAGGCTAAACTGGCCTCAAATTCATAGAGATCTGTTTTCTGCCTCTGGAGTGCCATGCCTAGTCCATGTACATTAACGGTTAAAGTATCATTCAAACGAAGTAAATTCTATATGAAAACAAAAAACCCTTCAATTACTTATATAAAACAGTTAACATAAATTCAGTAACACTCAATGTACAAAAAGCAAAAGTCATAAAGATTTTCTAAAATGAATTTGAAGTATATCCAAATCTACATAACAAAACGAAAACCATCAGCTAGTATGTTTGCTTATTTTCTTTTAGGTCTACTGCATTTCACACTCTGAGTCCTTCCAACAACTTAAAAAAAAAATTAGGCCATGCTGGTGACAGATCACATATTGTGCACTGTACATTTTACTTTAAGAAGTAAGTTTAAAACAAGAAAGAAAACGGGGTGGAAAACTGGCTCTGTGGCTAAGAGTGCTTAGAAGAGGTGGGTTCCAGTACCAGAATCCACCTGTTGACTCACAAAAATCTGTACCTCCAGTTTAAAGGGGTTAGACATCCTCCTCTTTGAGCATCTGGTGGCCATGATGCTGTGCATGCGCGCGCACGCACACACACACACACACACACACACACAGATAGACATGCAAAACATTTATACACACAAAATCTAAAAAAAAAAATTTAAAGACAATAATACAAATCAAACAGTGAAAGATGAAAACACCAAACAATTTAAAGGATGATAGTATAGAATGTGGCTGTAAAACAATAAATATGACAACTTATGGGATCCCTTATATGTTTAAAGACTTTCAGAAAATAGTGAAGGAAATGAGTAACCGTATTTACTGCTCTGAAATATAAGCTTTTTTATATCTGAAGCCTCAGAAACAACAAACTTTAGCCAGGTGTGGTGGCACAGCACTCAAGAGGCAGAGACAGTGGATCTCTGGCATACAAAGTAAGTTCTAGAACAGCCAGGGCTACAAAGTGAAACCCTGTCTCAAAAAGAAAGAGAGATAGAAAGAGAGAGAGAGAGAGAGACAGAGACAAAGACAGAGACAGAGAGAAGCTACGGAATCTTTGTGGTATATGTCCATATGTATATATAAGATGCAAAAACAATTTAGTTATGGAACAAAGATATCACTTGGCTACATTTAAAACACTCTCTTCAAATCCAAACACGGCCACTTACTTGCGCACTGACCCCAGCATGGAACTGTAACGGGAGAGCCCAAGGCCTTGTGCAAGGTAGGTAGGCCATGTGTTCTACCACTAAGTTATACCCTCACCGCAAATGTGACTCTTATTCAATAGAATATTCCTCACGTAGAGACAACGTCCAGTACTTTATTTAGATAACTACATTTGAATTAATATTAAACTTCAGTTTATCTGACCCTTTCAAGCTTTGAGAAAACCTGATCTAGAATACGATTTACATCAACTAGAAAATTCTTATTTTGAATTAATCAAATGCTTTATTGAATTTTATGTATTTCTGATAGTTACATTAGAGTTAACTACTACAAAGGGCATTTGAGCAGAATGATTTAAAGATGAAGGGCAGAATGTAAAACTTCAACCATATAGTTGTTTTATTGTCAAAGAAATCAAGAAAATCATCTGTAACTTAAGATCAAAAGCCTGGTTACTGTAACTAAAGAAAATATTTTCTGAAAGAGAAACTTTAGTTTTTTAATAGACAAAACATTCAAACTCGATGTATCTGAGTAAGTAATATGGGAACAAACAGAATACAAAGAATAGCTTCAGGAAGCATATGGAATTTTTTATTTCTTAAAATATATTATGGACCTTTTAAAGTAACAGTGACTATCTCAAAGTTCACAGTGGAGTGCGTAGTTTTCTAGGCCTTTATCTTTATCTAACTGAGACAGAATTTTACCAAATAACAAAACGAAACAAAAGCCTAACTAATCTCTAACTGGATTCCTACAATACCAACAAAACAGTGGCATACATGAAAAGGAGCCAAATGTGGTTTTTAACCTCTTTTTTCATAAAACCATAAAAAGCATAAAGCTGGATTAACTGCCTTCTGAACCCACATTTCACCAGCCGGGTTCTCATCCCCAGCTGGCAAAACTGGCAATCCTTTATTTCTGTTTAAATACCTGGTTTTCAGCCAGAAGGGCAGGAGTACATAAAAAGAGGGTTTCATTTGGAAGAGAATAGCAACTGAAAACCAAAACTACATTGTAAGAAAGAACTGTTAGATAAAATGTAATACATTTTATTTACTTTTTAAAATAAACACATTCTTAATATAGGTGGTTTTGCATCTGACACATGGACCTTCACTGACATACAGATACATGATAACGTAATTGGAACTGTTTGCTGTATCTCTTTGTGGTCAACAATCCTGATATAATGAATTGTATTACGGACATGCAGACTTTAGCATTGCTAGGAATGCACTCTAACAACCCAGCCACACTCTTAAGAACCTTTGCTATGAACAACAAAGAAATATTTTATGTAAGTTGTGAAGTGAAATGTTCAAGAAATCAAGATAAAAATGACTGTTACATGCTACACAGACACAATGTGAAACATACTCTACTATTCATATTATATATTTTCTCTCAAATTTCCAAATGAAATTAATTATTCTAAACATAAGTATTTTATATTATTTTTGGGAAAAAAGTTTTTCTTCTTTATTCAAACTCCTTTTTCTAAAATTCTAGTAGTGCACTTTTTAAGGCAATTGTTAAAAATCTCTCTGTTCTCTTCAAATGATGGCTTTTCTGTAGCAAACCAGCTCATCAATTTCATGGTCACTGTGAAACTGCTAAGGGTATGAAAGACAGTGGTCTAAAAGCACAGTAAGAGGGAAGTATACTTCAGCCCCATTCAACCTACTCTATCACCTTATTAGGCTATAATTGCAGATCAGAACATATTCTGATAAGACGTCAGTTAAAAAAAATTGATCTTGGTGAAATGACCCAAGTACGCCTTACCTTAAAATGACACAGATTTTTACCTCAGCAAGGGTGCAGACATTTAGTGCTGCCTTCCATCCTAATGCCCTTTGTAATTTTAGATGTAGCCTGTCCACTCAAAACAATTTCCACAAAAACAAGAGACAAAAGAAAATGTACTAAGAGAAAAAGTATATGCCATTAAGTGAGGAGAGACCACGTAAAATCAAAAGTCAAACAGCACAAACTCCAAGAAACAGGCTGGGTTTCAATTTTCCTACCAGAACCCAGAAATTGCTTTACTCTCAGACATAATAAAACCTAATATTCAAGCATATTAAAGCAGGCATAAGTTAACACAAAACATTTGTTAACAGCTGATGAAAATACTTACACTTATTTTTTAAAAATGGTAGGTAAATGAAAAACAATTTTAAATTGACAAATAAGCTCTTAAACAGTAATTTAAAGATATTTAAAAATTGTGTATTTCAAAGTGACATTATCAAGTAAATGCTTCCAACATTAACATAATAGGCATTTTCAAAAACATTTTATTTCCAGTATTATTTTACCAAATAAGATTTACTGTAAGTAAAGGGATACCTTTCTCAGTTTGCTAGTCAGACCAAACAATGCACCCAAGACTACCAATTATAAGGAGACGATGTATGCCCTGGAGTGGCTTGCTGCTCAATCAATAATCCTGACAGAACAGATGGGAGAAAAATCAAACATCTAAACAAACTGTCTACACACCTATGTTGTGAAAGTAAACTGTGAACTTGGATGAACCAATTTACCACTTTTTCAAATTTTTTCTTTGGTAACCCCACATTTCAGGTAACTGATATATATGTTATATAAAAACATCAAAATATATACTTCATCACTTCTAAAGGTTATTTCTCTATTCCTCACATCATTTGATATTTTATCAAATTGGCACTTGATAAAAAAATGACAAAAGTTTTCTTATTCAGCTTTTAAGAGTACAGTTTCAAGAAGTAATAATAATAATTTATAATTCATAAAATTCTGAGATTCATGGTTTGTCAATATTTTTCATATTACTATTTTAAATAACATTTTCTATTTAATGCCAACTGCTCTAACTCTTAATGTGGCATCCATAAATGTCATGCTATTGCTCTAAGTTTTATGTTACCTCCTAGCAGTCTACAAATGCCTAAAGGCAACTAACATCACAAATTCAAAAGCAAACCAAAGTCAGATTAGGAAAATCCCTCAAGACAAAAGCCAGGTGTATAAATATCAGGAACTAAATCATACATACACATATCTTCCTATAGTTCTCTACTGCTTCTTTAATGGCAAAACAACAAACATTAATGAATTCTAAGAAACTGTGTCATTGTAAGTCAAGTAAAAATAGGCATCATTAGAAAATTTACAATTAAACCTTGGACTTCATCTAAAAACATACCAAATTTTCTGATTCATCAAATTAAAAAGAAGCTTATGTGGGATTTAGCTAGCAAAACAAACAAACAAAAACCCTCCCAAATTAGTAAAAAGCACTAGCTGTAAAAGTTAAGGGGCACTTATTCTATTTGACTTCATGTTTAAACATATCCAGTTATGTGACTTTGGGATGACTGTTAACGTCACCCATAATAGGACCATAGTAAAGACATAAATTTAATCAAGTAACAAGCCAACTCATCTGATAGAGATTCTTAAATATAAATTCTAACTATCAAGCAGACAACAACCAGAACTAATTACTATGCCCCTGATGGGACTTAAAAGTATTTAACTTCCTGGTAATACTAGTGATGACATCTTTCCAGACTGTCAGAAAAAGGAAGTTTTAAAATAACACTTATTCACAAGGCTCTGTAGTATAAAACAATTTCATAACTTTTCGGGATATAGAAAAAACCTGTTCAAGGACTACGCTGAACGTAAC